TTTGGGGGTCCCAGTCCCATTCTTGGGGGTCCCAGTCCCATTTTTGGGGGTCCCAGTCCCATTTTTGGGGGTCCCAGTCCCATTTTCGGGGGTCCCAGTTCCATTTTCGGGGGTCCCAGGGGGTTTTTGGGGTCCCCAGTCCCATTTTTGGGGGTCCCAGGGGGTTTTTAGTGTCCCCAGTTCCATTTTCGGGGGTCCCAGTTCCATTTTCGGGGGCCCCAGGGGGTTTTTGGGGTCCCCAGTCCCATTTTTGGGGGTCCCAGGGGGTTTTTAGGGTCCCCAGTTCCATTTTCGGGGGTCCCAGTTCCATTTTCGGGGGCCCCAGGGGGTTTTTGGGGTCCCCAGTCCCATTTTTGGGGGTCCCAGGGGGTTTTTAGGGTCCCCAGTTCCATTTTCGGGGGTCCCAGTTCCATTTTCGGGGGCCCCAGGGGGTTTTTGGGGTCCCCAGTCCCATTTTTGGGGGTCCCAGGGGGTTTTCGGGGGTCCCGGTTCCGATTTCGGGGGTCCCGAACCTGCTCGAAGAACTCGTCCATGAAGTGATCCCGGTCCACCGTCACCACCTCGTCCTCATCGTCGCTGTCCTTGGCCTGCAGGGGGCGCTGTCACCCCGGGGAAGGGGGCGTGGCATCCCCAAACCCCGCCCACTCTCATTTGCATAGCCCCTCCCCCCTCGTTTGAACACGCGGGGTTCATTAGGGGGTGATTTGCATAAGGGGCGGGGCTCCTGGCGGTGATTGGGTGGTGCGGGATGGCCACGCCCCCCCCCTCGGGTGAGGCTCCGCCCATTTGGGAGTGACCCCGAAATCCCCCCGAAATTCCCCAAAAATTCCCAAAAATTCCCCAAATTCCCCCAAATTCACAAAAATCCCTCCCAGACCCCCAAAATTCCCAAAAATTCCCAAAATCCCCCCGAAATTCCCAAAAATTCCCCCAAAATTCCCCAAAGTTCCCAAAATCCCCCCGAAATTCCCAAAAATTCCCCCGGAATTCCCAAAAATTCCCAAAATCCCCCCGAAATTCCCAAAAATTCCCCCAAAATTCCCCCAAAATTCCCAAAAATTCCCCCGAAATTCCCAAAAATCTCCCCAAAATCCCTCCCTGATCCCCAAAATTCCCCAAAATCCCCCCGAAACTCCCTGAAATTCCCAAAAATTCCCAAAATTCCCCCGAATTTCCCCCCCAAAAAAATCCCCAAAATTCCCAAAATTACCCGAAATCCCCCCCAGC